GTGCTTAGTGATGCTTTTGCATTATACCAGTCAAACCTCGTAGAAGTTTATCAAGTTATGGAAAAGGTGAGAATGATAATTGCATTTCCTAATTTTTTGGTAATGTTGCGAATATTCTTAGTCCTGCATAGGTGTGAAAAACTCTCTGACAAGTTTTCTAGTCAGTTGGGAGAAGAAACTTCTGAACTTCTGAACTTTGCGGTTGATTAATGTTAACTAAACGGGCACATGTGGCGCATAGTTCAAGCTGCGTTCCTACGTTTATATATACTGAAACAATATTGCTCTGTGACATATTTCTTACCAGATGCGAAGCGTTTTGAAGCGTGCACTGCTTATACTTGTAAAGTGGAATTATGCGCAGAAAATCAAGCGCTAGAGAAACGTTGAGCTAACTAGAAGGTGCTATTCTAATTAGTCATTCAATGCGTCGAAGTTGATTGGATGAACAGCCAATTAGATACCCTTTTTGGCCGACAGTGAGAATTAGGAAAGCCTGTGATTCACTTTAAAAATTTGCACATACATGGTTTTTTCTTATGATTTCTTGGTTAGAAGTAGTCAATTGCTAACCTTCAGGTTCTCGCTTATATTCCAACCTAAGTGGTAATTCTGATTAGTATCCTCGAAATTGTACTTGCTTTATCTCATTTACATCTTCTTAAACTGTAGAATTTATTGTTGCTTTACATTCAAGGTAAAATAGAAATCTACCTTCTACACATATAGAAACCTCCTATAAAGCAGTCTCAGTACTTTTTGCAGAATATCTATGCTAAATGTTTTCCTCATAGGCAATCTACACAGCTTCGGTGATCGTAATCCTCCTTATTTACGTTATCTTTGGGGTCAAGGACTTCGCCTACAGCATCGAATCTCTTGCTTCCTTCTTCCTGGTCTTTCTTATTTATGGGTAAGTCATTGTGGAAAAATTTATAAACTTCGTATTATTCATTCGAATTTCTGTAACCTTAGGTTTTGCGCAGTCCTTTGGGCCTATGTGCTACAACGTCGCTTTGAAGTACCAGCGCTATCGTTTGTGTTGATCTCAATAGGGACATTTTTCGTAGGTATCGTAGCCTCACTAACGGTTATGGTGATCGAGCAGCTCATGCAAAAGGTTGATTATCTTTTTTTACTTCTCAAACAACTTCAATTTTACAGTCCATTAGATGCACCTATTTTTGTTTGTTTTGAATTGGACCTGGATTGTGAATGTGATATCTCAGGATCCAACACTGGTCACTCCGCACACTGTCTGCTCGATGGTCTTTTTGATATTCCCCCAGTACAATCTAGGAATGGCCATATTTCGTGGCAGCTTTGTGTTTCAACTCATTCAAATAGGAGAAAATTACCTAAGTGAGTTCATTCTACTTATAACCACCTTCTTTTTGCTTACTAAGTAGATATTTCTGTTCGTTGAAAAGAACGACAGGTTATTCCTGATTCTCTAAGCAGCAGAGTTCCCTAAGCAATGATTCATTCGAAGTTTTGCTAAGTTCTTAATGCACCAAAGGTCGCAACCTCGTGAAACTTTTCTAGAAATGTTGTCGGTTGTCACCGAAAAGTCAAACGCATTTTTCCTGTGCGCGTTTCTTTGCGCCTATGTCTTATACTTGCCGCTTCCGGTCATATAACGGGTTGTCTCATGAATTTATGCGGTTTTTTGAGCCTCTGACGACCATGAAATTTCCAAAGCTTCGGCATAGGTTTATGAATCGAAAAAAAAGACAAACTT